GCTCAGCAAGAAGGGCTAAGCTCTCCCAGCCAGAGCTGCAAGGGGCAGCATCCCACATCCCCTCTCATTTTTTGCTCCTTTCCCTTCTTTCTCCCAAAAGAGCTAAAGTTTTCCAGCAAAAGCTGCACCTTGTGCCAGCGACAACATGTCTTCCAGGAGTGCTACTAACCATTTGGTCTAAATTAAGCCCAAAATAATTACAGAGCAGCTGATTTGTAATTTTTTTTCTCATGTTGCCATGAATCAGACTACAGTTAATTGATATTTACTCTGCATTTGCTCGGTGTCGCAGATCGCCCGGCGTCGCTCAGGATGACAGAGTAGACAACAGGAGCCGGCGATCACTTTTTTTTTGGGCGTGCAGGGGGGCTGCACGGCAAAAGGGAACCTCATCTGGACCAACACGTGGCACATCAAGGGGACACAAAAGAAAACGCCACAGGAGCACAAGGGATAAAGGACAGAGGTGTCCCAGGCATTGGGATGATGCACAGAAAATCCGTGTGTCCTACTCCCGAGGGCAGCACCCGAGGGCTGGCAGTGGGTGCCATCGCGCCGGGCACGACGCGGCTGCGGGAGCCTCGCTGTGCTGAGCGGTGGCAGCGCCCAGGGGAGGGGAGGACCAGCATGAGCATCCCCACACCCACAACACCCACTGAATCAGGTGGCCATGCTGGTTTAGCACTGATGGGAGGCATTTGCCAGCTTTGTTTCCCAGCTCCACCATGGATTCCCCGTACAGTCGGCTCCACCACCCAACACACAACCGAGCCTTCGCTCACACGTGCCACCACGACCCACCAACCCTCGCTTTGCCCAGCTCCTTCAAACACTCAAACCCTTTCCTGACCCCAACATCCACATAACGAGGACATAACTCGGTCCAAAAAGCTCATGAAATGCTGATCGGCAGCCAGAGTTCCCCAAAAAATCCTGGAGACCTCATGCCCCGGGGTCTCCCAGCCCTTCAAACCCAGAGCTGGGGCGGGGTGAGGGGGAAGGCAGGGATTGCGCAAAGCCCTTGGCAGAATGGCCGAGCTGCTGCGTAGACCCGACAGGATGAAGTCAGAAGGGCAAACAGCTCTTTAAGCTAAATATATTTGTTCTTGGGATGACGTTGGTGTGTAAATCGATCATAAATAGACTCAGGCTGGAAATGAAAAGATGGTTCCTGACCACTAGAGGTTAAGTCCTAGAGCAGCCCTTCAACACGAATTACCAGCAGAAGAAACCAAACTCGTTCAAGATGGAGCTGGAGAAATGTGTGAAAGGGTGATGAAAAGCACCTCCGTGTGACACGGAGACCAGACGCAGCCACCCGAGGCAGCCCCTGAGCACAGCACGGCATCGCTGTAACAACATCGTTAGCACAGCTCTGCTCAGGAAACCTCCTCTCTGCCCTGATGGGACCAGGCACCAGGGTGAACATACCCCCAGAAAAACCACTTCATGGTGGGAAACGGAGCTACGAGGGCAGGGAAAGCGGTGCCTGAGGAGAACGGATCCAGTAAGCATCAGCCACAGCCTCCTTTCCTCCCAGCAGCATCTCTGAGCAAAGCAGGCTTCCACCTGTTACACCTCCCAAAAGGACCCGGTGAGTAGCAAGGTCGTGCTTACACGAGAGCGCAAAGCCTGCTCAGAGGTGTCTGGCTGGAGCCCAGGCAGCAAGACAACTCCAAAGTGCCTTTCTGGCACCAGCCAGTGTTGTCTTAACGCATTTAACAGAGGTGAGCAGCTACAATTTGTCTCCTTGACCATGTGGCACATCTCTCTGCCAGGAGATGGTCTGCTAGGAATGAGAGAGGCTGCTCTCCAAATAACTCAAACCTCCTCCAGCAGACAGAGAGCCTGGATAGTCGCCGGGGACCTGCGCCCTGGTGTCCAAAGCCACCACCTCGAGTCTGCACAGCTTAAATTATCAAACTGGATGTGAAGTGTACGTTGCAACTGAACCTCCCTCTCCGCCCTGATGCAGAGCCATAACGGACCTACTTCCAGGTCTGAAATATTTATCGGATCTTCCAAAGCCTGCAGAGGTGGACTGAGCTGATAGGCTGGAAGACACGACTTCAGATATGAAGATTTACGTTCCCAGAGGCAATTCATTCAGCAAACAGCATCCGTTACGTAACGCAGCGACAAAGAGCCACGGAGCGTGGCCGTGGGGAGGGATGGGATGCACAAGGAAGACGAATGGAGGAGAAGTCCTCAACTCCTCCAAAAAAAAACCACCAAACATCCTTTCACTCCTCTCCGGCTGGCGACTTGCCTCTCAAAGCCACCTCCTCCGGGAAACGGCCCAAGGACCAAGGACTGAGGACGAACAGCGCGCTTCAAGTGCCAGGAGTGACAACAGATGCAGCAGCTCACCAGGAAGGATTTTAGGAACAGGTTTACCAGGAGCTGTGACTCCACTCAGGAGTAGCAGCAGTGACAGCCCCCA